GTCGTCGTCGGTGGTGGTTCTCTGAAGAGGAGAGGACAGCGGTTACAGCCACGTGCTCGGCGGTGTCACGGCTTCCCCCCCTTGTGACATGCACGCCCCAAACCTTTCAGACTTCCACCTAGCCAAGAACCCTTTTCTGAAGGCTTCTTAAATGGAAGACTTTTGCATCCCTTCCCCAAACAAAATGAATTTATTTCCATTCCTCCCCACCAATCCTTGTAACACCCCCCACCGCCCAGCCTGAAGAGCTCTGTCACCAAAAGGAGGAGTTGCAGGACAAAGTCAGCAGGCTGCACAGCGTCAGAGAAGATGGAAGAGAAATGGACAGGGTCTTCCCAGGGACACAACAGCTTGAAGACCGCCCGACCCCAGCTGCAGCAGAGACACAGACAGCACCCATCCCTACTCTAATGGAAAGTGCAACCTCTGGGGAAAGCGGAGGATGGAAGCTGGTGCCTCCTGGCAACAAGAGGAAGGCTCCTGCTCCACCTAAAAGCTTACAAATAGGTTCACCACCCTCAAAGTTGAAGAGGCAGCAGATATGCTTTTGAGCAACACATGTGGGCCCCCTGACCCTAAATCATGCAAGACCACCAGGGAAGAAGCAGCAAGTGACGGCAGTGGGTCACTCCCTGCTGCTGGTGACAGAGGCACCCATCTGCCCACCTTCCTTGTCATCTAGAGACATTCACTGTTTGTTGGAGACAGAGGCACCCATCTGCCCACCTGCCCTGTCATCTAGAGACATTTTCTGCTTGCTGGGGACCCGGGACTGCGAGACTTTGACTATGACCCACTGCTTCTTCTGTGCAGGCACCAACGATAACACCAGAGCCACCCAGAAAGTATAAAAACCGACTACAGAGCTCAGGTGGGAGGAGACAGTCAGGGCAAAAAAGATGATTGATGTTCAAGGATCACCTTCTCCAAGTTCAAGAGTGGTCCATCCCAACAAGAATCCCAAGTCCGGAAAAAATGTCAGCAGGCCTATGTGGATCAGCAAGGAGCTCCTGGTCAAATTCAGACGCAAGAAGGAAGCATGCAGAAGGTGGAAGCAGGGACAGGTAACCTGGCAGGAATACAGAGGCACTCTCCCGGCATGCAGAGATGAAGTTAGGAAAGCCAAAGCCCAACTGGAGTTGAATCTGTCCAGGGATATCAGAGACAAGAAGAATGGCTTCTGTAAGTGCCCAGGTGACAAAAGGAAGACTAGGGGATATGCTGGCCTGTTGCTGAATGAGGCAGGCGACCCCAGAGAGCAGGGGAAAGTCTGGAGCAAGGAAGAGGTACCCTCAGTTGAAAAGGATGAGGTCAGAGAATACTTACACAACCTAGACATACATAAATCCATGGACGCTGATGGGATGCACCCACAAGTGCCGAGTGAGCTGGCTGATATCGCTGCAAGGCCACTCCTCATAATCTCTGAACAATCCTGGCAACTGGGAGAGGTGCCCAAAGACTGGAGGAAAGCAAGCATCACTCCTGTCTCGAGGAAGTTCAGGAAGGAAGACCCAGGGAACTACAGGCCAGCTGGCCTTCCATCAATCCTTGGGAAGGTGCTGGAGCAGCTAATCCTAGGAACCATTTCCAGGCACATGAAGAACAAGAAGGTGAGCAGGAGTAGTCAGCATGACTTCACCAAGGGGAAATCATGCCTGACCAACCTGATAAACTCCGATGATGAAATGAATGGCTTGGAAGATGAGGACAGAGCAGTGGATATTGTCTACCTAGACTTCAGCAAGGTTTTCAACACTGTCTCCCATCACATCCTCCTAGAGAAGCTATGAAGTGTGTGCTGGACAAGCAGACAGTGAGGTGGACTGAAAGCTGGTGGAACAGGCAGGCCCAGAGGGTCATGAAAAGTGGCATGAAGTCTAGCTGGAGATCAGTAACTAGCAGTGTGCACCAGGGGTCAATATTGGGTCCAATCCTGTTTAACATCTTTATTAATGATCTGCAAGTTTGCTGATGATACAAAACTTCGGCAGGGGGATTGGACTAGGTGATCCACAGAGGTCCCTTCCAACCCCAAACATTCTGTGAGCGGCTCATACACCAGAGGGTCATGCTGCCCTCCAGAGAGATCTCAACAGGCTAGAGAAATGGGCTGGCAGGAGCCTCATGAGGTTCAGCAAGAGGATGTGCAAAGTCTTGCACCTGGGAAAGAACAACCCCACACACCAGCACATGCTAAAAGTCACCCAACTCTTCAGCACCTTGGCAGAACAGGACCTGAGGGTTGTGGTGGACACCAAGCTGAACATGAGCAAGCAGTGTGCCCATGTAGCAAAGGCAGTTAACTGTATCCTGGGCTGCATGAGGAGTGTTGCCAGCAGGTCAAAGGAGGTGATCCATCACTGGTAAGGCCACACATGTCCAGTTCCAGGCTTCCAGGACAAAAGAGATGGAACTACTGGAAACAGTGCAGCAAAGGGCCACTAAAACAATTAAGGGACTGGAGCATCTCTCGTGTGAGCAAAGACCAAGAAAGCTGGGACAGTTTAGCCTGGAGAAGAGAAGGCTCAGGGGGATCTTCCCAACGTATACAAGTATCTGAAGGGATGGTATAAATACAGAGCCAGGCTCTTCTCACTGGTGTCCAGGCCCCAGGACACCAATGGGCACAAACTTTAACACAGGAGGTTCCATGTGAACATCAGAAACACTTGTTCTTCATTTTTTTTCTGAAGACTGTGAAAACTGGAACAGGTTGCCCAGAGAGGTTGGGGAATCTCCATGCTTAGAGACATCTGGGCATGGTCCTGGGCAATCAGCTCTAGGTGACCTTGCTTGAGCTGGGGGGATGGACTATATGACCTCCAGAGATCCCTTCCAACCTCACCGATTCGGTGATTTTGTGATCCTGTAACACAAACCCAGGTGTTTTATACATCAGAAATTCCCCCTTGAAAGCCTTTCCATTGAGGCTCCCCACATGCAGGAGGGGAATGACACCCACCAGTTGACTACCTCTGTTACCCACTATGAGTTTTCCCCTCATTCAAAAACTTACCTCTGGTTCTCAGCACTTGGAGTGGGGAGGAAGGCGAGAAAAGTGTTTCCTCACACCAGTCCCACTTTTCACCCTGATCCCTGCTCCTATTCTAGGGCTGCCGATCAGGTACGCAGGGAGGAACAGTAAGAGCATGTTCTTGGAGCCTGGTTAAGTGTGAGTACCAAGATATCTAAACTGCCCTGAATAAAGCCATGAGACAACATCGCTGTATCAAATCTTGCCAGGAGGACAGGTCTGGTAGATGTGGACAGTAAACATTTCCATTTGATTGGGTTTAAGCAAAGTTTAATAAAATCAGGATGAGAAAAAAGTGTGTTACCTTGACTGGGTACCCACCTACAGTCTGGCTTCCCGCAACACCGTCCCCTTAACTGGAGGCAGCTTTTTGGTAGAGGTGACCTGGTTGGCCTTATTACTGTCTGAGTTCTTTTTATTGCTACTCCAAAATAAAGAGCATTTTTCCTAGAAGACAATCAGGCTAGTTTATGGTGCACTTGGACATGAATTCCAGGAGGGTTCCAATTTTAAGAGGAGATTTAAAAATCACTGTTTAACTAGAATCTAGTTATTAATGTAGATTTCAAAGTTTAGGTTAAACTAAGCCCTAGTTAAGATTTTGGTCAGTGTCAAGCCAGTTTTAAAATGGTCTGTTTGCCTTTTCGATGCATCACCACACAGGCTTTAGGCCATGTTAGCAGAGGAGAGCTACAACGCTTCATCTGGGCATGTTGTGCACCCATACATATTTACACATTTGTTTAGAACTGCAGGTCCAACAGATGCATTTCAAACTGGCTCCACGATACACTAGACTAAGATTTGAGTGCTTTACAGTACCTCCTCTGGACCGGGTTTGGAGCACGCTGCTCCCTCCAGAAGCCAGAGGCACACAAGATACTCCAGGACGGAGCTGGGTTCAGGGAGACCTTCACGCTGGCAGACACGTGCAGAAGGTGCAGACAATGCGTCCGCTCGGTGTCCCCTCTGACATCGCCCGTGACTTCAGGAGGGAGGACTGTGCATGATTCAGCAATCATCGCTAGATCAGCAACACTTCAATCAAGTGAGGAACACACCTTGGCTGCAAGCTGCTGTCTTCCAGTTTACAAGCTCTTCTCTGTTCACTCAGCAGAGGCTTCAATGTGTTGTTGCACAGCTTTTAGAGATTTCTAAGGCATTTTAATCACTTTCCAGGTAGTCAGACACTTCCTGCAGTTGATTTTTCAGCTCTAGCACTTCATGACACTTTTGGCTGAGCACCCAAATACAGCTGGCTTATGCCTGGGTTTGGGATATTTCACAAGCAGATATTCAGCTGACTTGAATTTAAAATCCTGCTTTTCTTCCTGACCCTTTCTGGAATGGCTGAAGCTCTCTGATACCAGGAATTATGACTCGCACAAAGCAGGGTGAGGAAATGCCAGCTCAGGGCTGCATAACATCTTCCAAGTAGCCGCCCAGCAAATACAGACATTTTTCAGACACGCTGGTGCTACGCGGCAGAGCGAAGTCTGTTTGCCAACAGCCACTTGCCCTCGCTGCAGCAGAGAGGCTCAGCACAAAGCCTGGCCATCTCGGGAGCACAGTGAGGGTTTAATGCTGAGCCCTCGGCCCGAGCATCGCTCCCACCCTGCAGGCAACCGCGTGCAGGAGCAAGGGGATTTGGGATCATGTGTTTAAGTCAATTAAGCAGTTGGAGGTTTGGTTAAAATCCAATTACGTGATACACTGAGAACCCTGGTGCTATTTAAAGTGGGTTTGCATTAGTGTTTGAGTCAGGGCAGTTACAGGAGGTTGAGCAGAAGCAGCTCCTCACACATGCTCTCCCCTTAGCCTGCTCTCATACCAACCATTGCCTTTTCAACCCCACAAGTAGCCTCTTCACTTCTGCAGCTTTAAAGCCCGCTCAAACTGTTTGACTGTAGTATCAAAGCAAGGTTATTCAGTTTTGCACAGGTTAGGGAGCTAGATCTCCTTCAAGAGCTAAAGCTTTTAGAGGGCTTTGTGTTATCAGATGAATGTTTTGGAGCCAGAGCCACAGACCTCCATCGAGTGTTTTAGCTGGTTTATACTCTTGTCCTCACAGCTCAGCCCAGGCTCACGTGCCGGCCAGGCACCGTCACCACCCACCCCATGGTGGGCCAGCTTCTGCCAGCAGGCTTCCAAGGTCTTCGCTCCTCAGTATGCCCAGATCCACAAAGGCCCTGAGGGTTTAACTTCCAGAGTTATCTGAAGCAGTTTGCTGAGAAACCAAGTGAGTTTCAGGGAAAGACAGTGTCCAGCCTGGGTTGAGAAGCAGCCATGGTGTCTGTGCCCCTTCTCCAAGAACACAGTGACCGCATTTCATTTGTGAACAAGCTGCACTCAAGCAGCTCCATCCCCTCAAGAAGGCTCTGTTTCAGAGTAGAAAACTGCTGGGACCCTGCAGAGATGCACAGATTTGCACATTGGCACAGAGCTGCTGCTTTCCATGGAGGCTGGGCTGATGAGCTAGACTTGCTCTTTCGTTAGCTGGATGAGCTGAGGAATGCCTCCTCCTACAGGAGCCCACTTCCATTACCGTTGTGCAACAAGATGGCCAGAAATGCTTTCACGTTACCTATTTGCAGCCCAATTTCTAGATAGCCAAGGAAGTCCTGCTGCCATGTGCTGGCACCTGGCACCGTCAGGACATTGTTTGTGGCATCAGCCAATGTTTCCTCAGGAGTGTTAGATTGTCAGCCCAATCTACATCATCTGATTAAATCCGATTTGACTGACAGCATTTATCATTAGACATCTGCAAGTTCTTACCTGACTCATTGCCATCAGTACAGCTGCTGCGATAATGAGCGGGATGCTCAGCCCAAGGAAGATATACTGCAGGTACTCCAGCAGCAATGGGATCAGCACCAGGTTGGTGTAAAACTGCTTTAGGACTGAGCCTTCGATGGATCCGCTCTGCTCAAAAAAAGCAAAGTTGTCAGTGGCATTTCCCTCCCATCCAGGGCTGAGACAGACCAGCTGCACAACTCTTCTCCCACCACCTCCCAGCACAGATTAGGAATTTATGCAAGATCCAGTCAGGCTGGAAGCTTTTACTAAATTGTTGGAGTCAGCTGGACATGCACACAGCTGGAGACTGCACTCCCTGGCGCACATTCGCATGGGGATGCTGGCAACTCTGTTCTGGGCCCTATTTAACCCCACATCTAGGACAGAGCCAGAGGTTTACCAAGTATAGTGCAGGGTTTGTTCAGCTCAGAGGGATTAACAACATAGCCAAGTATTGCAAAGCCTTCTGTTGGTGCTTAATTAGTCTGGCTGGCTTACAGCTCTATCCAACGTGGAGTTTCCCCAGCACTGGCTGATGGGGAAGCAGTTCCCCCCTCCTGCAGGAGAGGCTCTGCAGAATCACGTCGAGGAATACAACTCACCTCTGCAAACCACAGCAGCGGCAGCACCACCGGCTTAATCTTCCCTGTTTGACTACGGAGGGAAGGAAAAAAAAAATACACACTTAGATTTCTGGTTGATCAGGCCACAATTAGTGCCATAATTCTTCTTAAAGGGACAGGTCTGACAGACTGATAGTAGCCAGGAAACCAGCGTAAGGAGGTAGCAGTTCCTGCCGCTTCAGTGAGCTGCTCTCCCCTTGAGGACCAGGTCCAGCTTGGGCCTTTCATGGAAGAGCAGAGCTTACGCTTCCATTTGCGCTTAACCGCCTGGCGACAGCGGTAAGTGCCATCCCAAATCCGGGCTCCAGGGACATGAACTCCATGAAGCAGAGTGCTAAACTTCACGCAGCTCCAAGACATCTCCATCACCTGCACGGGACTACAGGGCAGTGCAGCCAAGTTCACAGCACTGGGGCTGCCTGCTGGTGTATGCAACAGAGCCAGCCAAAGCAGCAAGGGCATGCTCCTACCCTTGCAGGTATTTAATGTCTAACACTACACAACTTTTACAGAGCCCTTCTGTTTGCTTTCACAGAGAGGAGAAAGTGTCTTTTTGGATACAAGCTTCAACGGTCAACCTGGCAGACAGAGCACGTTTTGCCTCCCCGTGTTGGACGTAACACCTTCTGAGCAGCGGCACAGTGCAGGTGAGCCGCTCCTGTGCCTCACCAGCAGATGCGGTCCATTCGTTGGCTGGCCGGTCAGGCACAGGAATGCTGCAGGAGCCGAGCAAACGGGCAGCCGCACACTGTACTGCTAAAGAACAGCACTCTGAGGTCACTGGAATAGCTGACGTGGCACCACAGGAGCCAGCTGGCTTCTGCAACTGTGACAACTGGTAATGTTAAAGCTACTTCATCTTTGGGGAGTGTAAACTCTGCAGCAACCCCAGCATCAGCAGCACTCTGCTTGAGAAAGGAGATGGCCATTCCTAGAAGGTGACTACTTACATTATACCAGACACCTGCTTTATGTACAGGTTCAGCTGGAGCTTGATGGAGCAATTCATGGGGATGCCCGTCATCTGCATGGGAAGAGAGCAACCAGTTTGTCAGTACAGCCAGCATTTGTCTGGAGAGCTTTGCAAAAGAGCAGCCCTTTGCTTTCCATCACAGCTACTCTGGGTGCCACCTTCCAGAGTGATGGATTGGATCATCCAGAGATCCACTGCAACCACCACACACAAGACCAGGAGCGTGGCTGGGGTTTCCACCAAAGCACAAGCATCAGTCAGCCAGGCATCGGTCCCCAGGCCCTGGGGATGACTGCTCATGGAGGGACAGCACTGTCCCATGGCAGCTTGCGGTCTGTCCCCTTCACCTGAACGCTCACCAGCCAGTGAGACCGTTTCACGCAGCAGCATCCAGAAGGGAGCACCTCACTTGGGACGGTCTGAAGGCACAAAGCCAACCTGAACCGAGGTGGCTGCTGTGGAAGGAGGCAGCATACATTCAGTGGGCAGACAGCATGAACCAGGGAGGTGTTGCGTGACCCAGGGCTTGTGCGACTGAACCTAGATGAGTTCCAATTACCAAGTAACATATGCAACCTCTGAGTGACTCCCTAAGAGTAGTAGCAGCTGTAGTGTTTTTTGAAGCCTGATGAGCCTCTTCTGTTGCTCATCCTACCAGCAGCAGGATAGAAACGTAGCAATGCAAAAGGTTCATGCACACAGCAAAGGACAAAACATTTCTCACAACTAGAAACCAACAACAGCAACACCCTCAGGCCATGAAAACAGCACACTTCAAAGCTGGTCTTGTTGATACTCATTAAGGCATTGGTTTCTCATGACACTGCAGTTTTGCAACAAGGGTAGAGAGTTTTTTATTGGGCTGTCCCTGTTTGTACTCAGCAGGCTGCAGCTAGATAAGAATATAGTTAATTATACTGTTATCAGTAGATGTTTGATACTGTAATAAACTTAATTAGATTTCCGTAACTGTGATAAGAAAAGCAGAGAAAACACGATGTCTAGATAAGAAGCACGACTCACCTAACCTCAAGAGGGGGACAGGTTTCTTGTTCACCACTGAACATCTGCAAGATTTGACCGCACGCAGCATGGGCCATGGGTGGAAGATCCCAAAGTGCCCTCCCCATCAGAAGCTGCAACAATGACAGCTCAGGACAGCCCAGCTCATCACCACCCAAGCGGTGACTTCACCCCCTATGCTGCAGATATGCACAAAGCGTGACCCTGCAACAGTCCAGTGCAGAAGCAGCCAGATAGGCAAGCACAGAGCAGAAGCAGCCAGCCCAGAAATTACGGCGATAGCTTCAGCTACAGCGTGGTCTTAGACTTTGCCAGTCATGGCTGTACACATTTGCAGATTTGGGGCATAGCTGGGCTGCTGCCAGATACACCTCCTGGTGTCATGGACCTGAGTCAGTGGAAAGAACTTGACTGCGCTTATCAAAACAATTAGGTTTATAATTAGTTTGGCAATTCTCTAGAATCCAGGCTAATTATTCAATTAGTTTATGGCTTCAACATTTTTATCTGCACATGTCCTTGCCAGTCTTTGCACTATGGAACCTGCTCCAACCAGTGCCATGAGAGCGGAGCGAGGCCACCACGCTGGCGGCAGCAGGCTCCCCCCCCCAGCCCCCAGCCCCGGCTGGGACCCAGCGGGGG